TTCAGCCGGATTTTATCTTTTCCAGGTGAACTGTCAAGATTGTAACAGACAAATACCTCCCGGTTCACCGTTTTACGACGTTAACAACGCACCAAAATGCGAAGTCTGCTGCACAGTGAGTTGCTTTAGAACTGAAAGGACATGGATGTAGGCCAGGAAATTCGAGCTGTTGTGGCGAGCACGAACTGATAGGACACAACCATGTCGTCCCGTCCTCTTCGCTGCTTCCCGTCTTCGAGGCGAGTGATAAATGAAATGCCTCGGCCGCGCCGCTGCAACCTTAATCTCCTGACCCACACCCAGGAGACTCCGTTTTGATTCCGGTAACTTTGGGAAGTAACCATGTGAAACATCAATGTAGTAGTTCTGGTTGGTGTAGTTTCTTAGTAAGCTCAAATTCAATGAGGAGGGTAGGTTTCGTTGAAATGAATTATGGGATTCGCTGATCAAGCATGATTGCTTATCCCGTTTTTTTTTCAGGGCGATGGAACCAAAGCCACTCCGCAGACTTCGTCAAAACCGGTAAGTTGGGCTATTTTTTGAAGTTGGGCTATTTTTTGAGATATATTTGAGTCCTGTGAACTTTTTTCCTCAGTGAAGGGCTAGTTTTTGTGCACCCCTTACTGGATAGTCTGGCATACGTTGTGTAGAACGCAACGGAGGCAGTATATGCTGTAAAAGAGGAGTAGAGGGGAGTGGGGAAATGGGGAGGTGCCATTCTTTGCTGGATGGAAGCACTTTCTGAATATTTAGTTTCCCGTATCAAGCAGGCTATAACTTTCGTTGGCAACGTGGCAAATTCATTAACTTTGAAAGTTCATCGAAACTGATTACCCCAGGGCACATCGTTGTTGGCGATTCCGCAACAGGGGGTATTTGGTCGCTGGGAGAGGTGGGGGTGTGGTCGTACTGGGCTGAGAAGAATTTATTTTGATTGTTGGTTTTTCTTGTTTCACGGTAGGGGAGGGGTCGTATTTGTTCTTTGTTGGGAGGGGCGGGTTGTATTTCCCTTCTGACCGTCTGAAAGAGGGCCTGACTTTTCGTGAGTTTTCCTGTTTCATGTGTACTATATACCCCTCCCCCTCCCTCCGCTCGATAGCAAAACTTCTGGGCAAAATTATGAAAGTTTTCGGAAAATTCCGGAACAAAAGGTAGGAAGTTGGGGAAAATCGAGAAATGGTAGAGAGGGTGGCCGTATTTTCCTCGCGGCTTCTCCCGTTTCACGTTTCCCTCCTGCTGTTTACCCCTCCCCCACCCTCTCAACAGCTGGATGGGGAGGGAACCAGAGGGGGACCGTACCAACCCAGAAAAGGGGGGGGGGGTCGCACGGACTCGACCAAAATCCCCAACTATTGATGTGCCCTGGATCCGCGCTCCACGGTAAGAGGCAATATTCTCGGACTTGAGAGAGTAGGTCACTAAGGGGAAAGCTCGCGGAAGGGGTCCCCTATTGGCCTCGGCTGTCAGCCGTTAGCGCGAGTAGGACCGAGAACTTGGTGCGTCAGTTTGTCAGTCTGTGAGCATGTATCTCTATCCGTCCACGGACTGCCTTATGGGTGTTAGTAATGATACTGTACCCCTTACACAACTGGGAAAAAAGCCAACTTCATGATCACACCCAGCAGCAGCGTCAGGAGTGATAAAACCCATCTTTCACAAAAGAATATCAATTGACAAGTTCATAGCCAAAAAACAACGCATGCTGTTAGCTGTTACCATTAAGATGTTCCGAAACACCAAACGTTTTCTTTTCAGGAAACCTGTAAGAAATGTAACCAGGGTATACCGGCTGGCACACCATTCTACGATGTCGACGGTTCACCGAAATGTAAAGACTGCTGCATTGTAAGTTATTTTGCCATTTCTGCAAACCTTTCACATTATACGAGGAACAATTAATGTCTGGCGCAGTTCGGCGACGCGGGAGAGGGGGGGGGGGCATTTGTACTTTCACTGCTTCACTACTTCCGGTTTACAAGTCTGGTGAAACTTGTGAACTCTTGTGAAGCTGGAGCAAGCTCGTCTAGCCACCATGGTAAAACGTGTCAACTCAAGAAAAGGCTATCTAGATGG